CCTCCCCTGAGGGGGCCGGCGCCATGTCTGTGCCTGGGAGGCCTGTGGCCCTTCGGAAGGAGGAGGTCTTCCCTCGGCCCGGGGCTGCGCTCTCCGGCGCTGCTGACAGCGTGAGGGAGCCGGTCAGGGTTTTGTTTTACCCGTTGTGAAATAGGGAGGTTGAGCGCCTGGCTTTGAGGCCGAGACCTGCTGCCGGCGTGGGCAGCTGGCGCTGAGAAGGCCAGACACGGCCAGAGAGCTGGGAGCCGCTCTCCTGTGAGAGGGCGAGGAGTCGGGCGGGTGGATAAACGGGGCAAAAATGATTCAACAGTGGGGGGAGAGGTCTCGCTTTGAGGAGAAACAGCTTTATCTAACTGCAGCCAACACAGCCACGAACTCTTCTCTGTGACACATACTCTCCCTCCAGCGTGCTGTCAGTTCCCAGATGAGCCAAGCGCCCGGCTTAAGGGGTCAGGTGCCTTGCATGTCTTTTAGTGAGGGAGAGGAGGTACTGCTTGGGAAGAGTCTCCCAAGGAGAGATGTTTCCATGACTGCTCTCCATCACTGCTGATGGACAGATGAGTGCGGCTGTGATCTAAGGGGAGTTCTCATCTCTCTAGAATGACAACTTGCTCAAAGTGGACTGAAAGTGCCTTAGAAAGTAATTTTACTAAAATTTTTAATCAGTGATCAAGCATTCAAATGTGGCTGCCTGTATTTCTGCAGTATTTTTTTATGTGTCTGCAAGCTTGCCTTGCCTTCCCAGTGAGCAAGCTGGAAGCCAGGTGGCTGCAGTAGCAGAGCATTGAGACCAAACTAATAAGTATTGCTGTTCAGCAGAGTCTGTTGTCTCATGGGTTGCACAGCACTAGTCAAAACAGCCTTGCATCTGCCTGCAGAGCAGATGGCAGTATAGCGTCGCTTCCGTGGGGTCCAGAATCTGAAAAACAAGCCATTTAACTCGAAGAAGTTGTGTTGAGTGGGTTTTTCCTGCACCATTAACCAATAGTTTATTTCTCCTAATTTAGGTGCAAAACCGATCTGCTTGGCAAAATGGATACAGGTAAGACAGTGAATTTGACTTCCTGATGATACGTAGTTATTCACAGCTGTGTATGACTTAGGTGCTCGAAAATCCAGCAGGTGCCTTTCACCCACCTGAGCCTATGGTCTGTGCTTGCTGTGTGTCTTCCTACAGTGTCAAACAGTTAAACTACCTCAGGTTGAATATGGTTTTAAATCTTGGTCTCTCATTTCTTTGGGGATTATTTTGACTATTAGGCTATTATATAAAACGTAGATATCCCTGCTGCTATTCCTGAATGAGGGTGGTTGTAGGTGCTGTATTTATTGCTGAACACACCAGTTTTCTATCTGGGTCTAGATAATACTGGCAGCAAGAAGTATTTAGCCCTGTAGTATCTCATAACTGGTTTCAGTTGTGCTTTCAGCAAAATGCTCAAGAAAAACTTGGCACAAAATGTGCTCTTCAGCCTTTTCTAGATCCCTTGAGCTCAGAGCAGTTTGTGCAATTCATTCAAGTTCCTCCTGTGTGAGACTTGGCTTCTTGGGTAACAGGAGTGGGAATGCTTTCTTACTGCAGGATTCACTTATTTGCCTTTGAGGAATGTGAATTGTTAGGTGGATTTCTATGTAGTGACTGTTAAAAGTTCACTATCCACCTTTGGTTTCCTCAACCTACTTGTTAGGGATTGCACGTTTTCTCACGTTCAACAGAACTTTTGTCTGCTTAACTTCAAGCAAGCAAGAAATTCCCAACGTGTCTAGCAAAGCAGTTTAAGCACACTTAAGCACGTGCTTTAAAAAACAACCCTGTGCTTTATTATGAAAAGCTAAGGCCAACGCTTCCTCTCTCTCAAGGCCATGAGAAAATTCCCGTGGACTTCTATGGAAGTAGGATGTGCCCTCTCATCACTGCCAACTCTCTCGCTCTGTCTGGCTGAGGTTTTCTCAGGAAGAGCCATCTGCTGCATGTAATGAAATAGTCTCTCTTAAAAGTCAAACTGTTCTGTGATTAGACTCACTATACTAAGGTCACACTAGCAAAACAACGCTGAATCTTTCAGCTAGCTTCTCAGCTCTTGAAACAACATGCATAAATTAAATGTCTTTTGTCTTGTTACGCAGAGTCAAACCACAGGCCTGGCCCACTTCTAGAACTTAAAGAAAGAGCACTCAAGGGTAAGTGTGCATTTATGGTTTGAGGGGTCAAATTGTTTATGCTTTTAAAATTACTTGCCTAGTTTTTTCTCCTGTGTGCAAATAGAATGCGTATCATGAAAGGTAAATAAACAAAGAGGAGCAAGTTACTTTATTCTTAATGCACTACATGAATATAGTGATTTATACTGTTATTGAACAGGAAGTATGATTTGTTATTTGCTTCTCCTGAAGTGTAGCCAGTTTTGCACATCTTGATAGATTTTTTTTTTTAAACATGTTGCATTTAGAATTCTGCTAAATGTTTCTGAAATTACGCTCTGGTACTATTTCCACTGAGTTTCAGCAAGACAAACAACATTGCAAAAATCTTACAAAAGCAAGCTTCCTTCTCTAAAGAATGTGTAAGTGATACTAGGTATCCTGGAATATGCATTTTATTCTTTCTAAATATATATTGCATGGCCTAATACTCATTAGGTAAGAATTTCCTCCATTCCTGAGAAAAAAATCTCGTCACTTGGTAGCATTATCAGGCTAGGTGCATGAATTGCTTACGCTGACAGTGTCAGATGCTTGACAAATGTTAAAAATAGATTAAGACAGATCAGTGTTAAGAGTTGTGCTGTGATTGCTTGTTTTAATTACTCTATATTAAGGTCTTTGTTAGAGATATGCGGAGCCAGTCGTTTAATCCTCTTACATTTAACCAACAAATTATAGCTGTGGTGTTTCCTTTGTACTGTGGTGCTGTTTACAATGGGTAGTACCCTAATATAAGAGCTGTGAAAAAGCCTCGGATGTGGGAAGTTGAAGAAACACAATATATCACGGTATATTTGACAAGGACGTATTTTCCAGACATCTGCTTTTTGAAGAGCCAAAACTTCGCTGATGTTTTTCTTATCCGAGCCTTGTTAATACAATAGATATATGATAATTGGTTTAGATAATACAGTATTTTGCTAGTTTGATTTCTGACGTTAGACGCTCTTTGACAACTATGCTGCTCTAAATGTTTGATTTGGTTGCAGTGTCTTGGATTTATAGAAGAATAATATGGTTATAGTTATTGTTTGTGTTCCAGCATTAGGGATTTCAGACAGAACTGAGTCAGGCAGAACTACTATGAGGTGCAGAAACAAATAGAAAATGCAGTGGTAAATCCTTGCGTGCGTGGGTTGTCACTACTCTTGCCCCATCAAATGTTAGACTCTATAGTAAGAAAACTGTTGTATAAATGCTATAAATAGCCCTATTGTGAATAGAATTCACAACGTTATAATTGAATTCTAGAATTCCAGTTTCTGTTGTCTTGGAAATTTTAACTTTTACGAGGTAACAACGTTTAAGAATGTAGCCATGATCACAACACTTTTGGAAAATGTTTTAATGGCTGTCTGGCACAATCACTTTGGAAAGCTTGTATAGACTCGGAGTGGAGGAAAGCGGATTCATGTGGAATTTGATTCCATCAGTACTGGTGGATGCATGGAAAAACAAAGATTCACAGAAACATGCCAATGTTGATGAAACTTTTAAAGGAAAACTTTTATTAAAAGCTTTGATTTCTGTTAAAGGAAAAGTTTAAAAAGAGACACATGAAAATAAGGCATTTAAATATGGCAAAACATGCATGGCAACCTTTTCAGAAAAAAAAAGTTGTATGTTTCCTATTGTAAATATAAATATGTCGTACGTATTTCCATACAGGGAATATACCTCATTTAAGAAATCTAAATTGGTGTGCAATGTCTGTGTTTATTGCATAACGGGAAAAGTCTATGTTTTGTTTTGGAAGAAGAAAAATGCTAAACTTCTGGAATTTGCTACAAAATAAAAAATCTCTGTTGAGACATGCCCTGGATGAGGAAGTGAAAAAATGTGTGTATTCCCAAATGCAAAACAATTGGCAGGCTGGGAATGGGGAGTGGATGGAATTATGGCTATTGATTTCTTAGAGGAATGTTGCAGCTATACAAACCATATGCAAACTCTGTGCAAGAAAGTTAATATTTGAGAAATACTTCCAGGGAGATTGGAAAGGCAATTAGCATTAACCTTGGAATGTAACTGCATTTAAGCAGGACACCAAGATTTCACAGACGACTAGATGACAGGGTGTGTATTATACATACGGTGCCATAGTTGGTCATTCTGGAAAGGATCTGTAAGGTTATTTCAGTGATTATGCCTATGATGTCTTTGTATCTCTGCAAACCAAGAGTCAGAGTCATAAAAACGCAAGCAACCCAAGAGTCAGGATCATAAAAACACAAGCTTTGTAAGCAGTAATATTTCATCTTAAGCTACGTTTGCTATTTCAAGTTATTTGCTATGCAAGCTATTGCAGTAAATGTTATTCTTTCGGTTCTCATATAGGTATGCTGGGAATCGCTATGACTTTCTGTCTGTGGTATATGGCTTTTCACATTTATTGACAGAAGTGCATATAAAGTCCTGTTTCCCTGAGCAGGACTGTAGAAATCAGTGATTACACATAGAAGCCTTCTTGTGGCCAGCGCTTCACACCAAACTTTCCTGTTTGTGTCTAGACTAAATCGCCTTTGCGTTCCTCAGTACTTGATCATGCAGAGCGAGAACCTGGCCAGGCTGCGGCAGGACTGCGTTATATCCGGCATGCTTGTGTTTTCTGTCTGTGCCAAATACAGGGCAAGTTTTTTTGTGTGCAGCACTCATTCCAGCGTGAGGCAGGGGCATGGGTACAGACCCGGGCGGGGGGAAGTTCCACCTAGTCCTGCCTTTTAGGCACTGCCCCTTTAAGAATTTTCTGGGGATGATGTGGGTAGTGGAGATTCCTTTCTGCTTTTTTTGTTGTTTCTGTTCTGCTTTTGCTGCTTTCTCTCCCTTTAATCAATATAATAACATCCTGCTGTCCATACCAGCTAGCTTTCTGGTTGGATCTGCACAGTATATGAGCATTTCTGTTCATCATGAAGAAAGGTTTTGTGGTTATTTTGGTTTGGAGATTTTTCACGTTTATCTTAACTGAAGTCTAATCATATCCACCAACTTTCTTTGTGGTTAAGCTACCTGCCAATATAACGTCTTTAAAAAGGGATGTATGAAAATGTATATAGTTTGCCCAGGCAAATGGAGAAGGAGCTATTGATAAATCCGAATTTAGTAGGATAGTCCAGGGGGTAATGATTGTTTTTCAAAAGGGCAAATCCAGATCCCAAAGTTTGGCCTATGGAGTGGAGGTGATAGTAGGAAACTGCTGGCATTTGGGGAATTTGTTGTCTCAGACCAAGGATCTCAGAATAAACAATGAAGCACATAAGCAAATACTCCACTGACTTTCTAAACAAGATCAGTCTGATAGAGAAGTGTTAAAAGAGTGGGTGAGCAGCCTGTATTATGCATGCATCCACATCCTCCCCATATACACATATGTCCGCAGGAGGAAGATTGTGCTTTCTGTATGTTCAGGTCTTTCTCGAACCTCATTTAAAGTAGTGTAGTTCTGTTTTCTTATCACAGTGATGACATTCAGCACAGCTCTTTCTTTCCTACCAAAAAACACGAGTCAGACAAAACCTAAAATCAGCGATGACAAAGAAATAAAGAACTTCCTGATAAAGAGCTTGATCCTGATATAGGAGAAGTTCCCTCTGTCCCATGGAAGCAGTTTCTAGTTCATAACTATTTCCCACATCTTTTGTCAGTCCTGGTTTTGAAACATACTTCTGTTATCACGTCTATCAGATTTAAAGTAGTCTTTGCAATAGGATCTTTAAAGGTCCCTTCCAATCCAAAACATTCTGTGACTTTATATTAAGAGCAATAAGAACGTCCAACAGGCCTATAGGGGCGAATCTGCTCAAATTCCCATGCTCTGCAGGATGGTTTTTAATCCTGAACCTGTACTGTGACTGCCTTCACCGTGAAGGACTTTCACCTGCGTCTGTGAAATGTGCAAATCTGAATGGCTCCTTTGAAGCCAGGAGAATTCCACCCAGGGTAGAGTTAAAATACCTGCTTTAGGACCTGGGCCTAAACCCAAGTTACTCGGAAGAGAGACTTTGGATCAAACTGGTGCTGTAGAGTCATCTGCTGGGGTTTTTTTGTTATTTGTTTTGTTTTGGGTTTGGGTTTTTTTGTTTTGTTTTTTTTTTTTTAAATAAAAAACTGCTGAGGTGTATACTAGCAATTGGCATCTACTCTGTTATTAGAAAAATAACTGCAATTCTTGATGTTTAATTAAGTAAATATACAAAAAAAGGCAGCAAGCACTTTGAAACAAGTAATATAATTGCTATCAAGAGGAAACCTGTTTACTCCTTTTTTTTTAAATTGAACTTTTGACCCAGAGATAGAGTGTGTGATAAGTCATATATTTATTTGTATTAGATATAATTATAAATGTAGTTATCTAAATATAATATAATTACTCTCGGCTATACCCAAATAAATATAATTATCTAAATAATGCTTCTTCCTAGGTAATATGAGATAAATTATTGAGACGTTATTCACATGCGTAATTTTGTTACTTAGTATGTGTTCTTGGATAATAAAAGAATAATTTATTTGAAATGTTGCAGAGCTAGGGTTGGACTCTGCAAGAGTTTTGTGCACAGCTTAAATACTTTTTCATCATATACAATATAAAAGCACCTTGCCTGTGACATTTTACTTAATGTTCATGTTACTTAATTTTGCATTCAAGTTCATTTCATAAAATTTCAGTAGAAACTGTATGAAATGAATCTTTCTGCAAATTGTGACACTCACCAATTTTTTGGCTATACTGCGTGTCCTCAAAAGGATGAGAGATTTATGGAGAAGCTGTGTAGAAGTCCTCCCTTGAAAGCTGCCCAGGAAGTCTGTAAGAACACAAATCTGCTCTGAACTGCAGTGCTTGAATTGTTGAATTGCTGGACTAATACTGATGTGTCTGAGAGAGCTACCGCTTCACCTGTCATCAAGCAGTGTTCAAAAACCACATCAGGACTTAAGAAATTAATGAGCTTTGGCTTGAAAATCACATAGCTTAAAAAAATACGAACAGATATGCCTCTTTCTGTTTTTCTTTTTATTTTAGGACATTTATTTTTCTTGTTTTCAAGGTTTTTTCTTTATTGTAGTGGCTGGTGGTTTAGAGATTTATTTTTCTGGAAACTGAAAATGGAGATTTTCATGATGCACAGAACCTTCAAAAATACATCCTCGGATTTTTGATTAACACAGAGAATTAATGGGGAGTAGACTATTGGTTATAATCCTTTTGCAGAAACAACAGCAGGAAATACTCAATGATTCAACCACAAATTTTATACTATTCATAGGAATGGACTATAGAAAACTATATCTGCATTGCAGATGGACTCTACACATTTGTAGGTTTGTGTGTAGAAGTTCAATGAAACTTAATCCTTGACAAGTTAAGCAAAAGGGATCTGCCAGATTTGGTGTGGCCCCACAAGCGCGGGCAATGGCAGATGAGTTACTGAAGACGTGGTGTGTGTGATCTAAGGCTATTACAAACACACATTATTTATGGAGCTATCCATTTTCCTTGTGTTTTCAGGTACCCCAGATCCAGTGTCAACCTGGTATAAAGAGACCGAAATATTAGTTGATGGAAGGATATTTCTTAATATGAAACATAGGAGGATTATCAGTTTCATTCCTCCTGTGTGTTTAGCTAAGATAACCCTTTGTGTGGGCTAATGCAGGTTCTTCTTTCCCACTCCTTTGCGCTGATGTGGGTGTAAAGCGGGGCATTTGCAGAACATGTACAGCTGTACAGGGGTATTTATGCACCGATGTGGAGCTTTTAACGGACCTAGACAATGCCGTGGTTGTCAGAGCATGTTTACATGTATTAATTGTACTGCAGTACTATACAAGGTTTAGGCATAGATCAGGTGCCTGTTGTGCCAGGCAGCACGTGAATACATAGAACGGTCCCTGCCCCAGAAAGCTGGTGCCGTAATGATAAGAAGAGAGACAATACATGGGTACAGACTGACAGGTCCTGTGAAAGAGTGGGAGGAGCAAGTGCATCTGAAAGGTAGGAATAAATCCTATGGAATAAGGGTGTGGGCTGAGCAGGACTGTACAGAGAACAGAGATTACATGATGAATAGATAGTAAATAAAAGAAAAAAACTTCAGAGAGGTAGTGAAGGGAATTTTTTCCACTGGCTCTAGAGGAAAGGAACCCCACAGAAAGACACACATTTTCTCCTGGACTTGTAAAATGCATGAGCTTTCTGTAGAAATAACTTCTGTGAATGTAAAATTGCTTACAAAGGAAGATTTCCATTTTGATTATAACTAAACAAAGTAGGAAAAAAATGTGATGCGAGAGAGGAAACTTAATGGCTGTTTTTTAAGTTTGATCAAATTTGTATATTTTTGTCAGTTAAAATTTTTTTTGCTGACATTAGGATTAAGCCCACAGTTCCTTCCATTAGAAGCTGCTTTGGGTCCAAAGCCACCTGCAAAATGGCTATTACTAAAAATTAAACTCATCTAAACATTGTTCCTTCCGTGTTAAAGTGTAATTTTTCAAAAATGTTTTGGTCTCGGTTGGAATAAATGATCAAATATTAAACATTTTTTATTTTAAAAATACATTTCAAATGGGGAAAAATGTTGGCATTTTAATGAAAATAAGTTTGAACAATTAAAAATTTTATTTAGAATTGGAGTTTCAGACAATTTTTTCACTATGAATAATTTTCACTATGAATAAGTTTTTCAAAACCAGTATGGAATTATGACAAAGTATGAATTTTAAATAAAAAGCATTTTTTCCTGAAAATTTACTTGAATTTGTTTTATTACATATTTTCCTTAGACAAATGTTGAGTGATTGTTTTAGCCATTTTGATGCTTTTTCTAGCCATTCTTTTGCATAATATAATTTGAAACATTGTTTCTCACAAACACTTTGATTATTTCCTGCCATAAAAGGATCTTTACTGCCTGTTGCTGCCTTCTTAATCTGACCATTCCAGGTTTTCCTCAGTTCTATATTTCTCCTAAATCATATCAGTGATTCTATATCCACATCATACCAACCCTTCTGTATCCAGCCACAGTTCTCAGGTTACCGTTTTCCTGCTGCTGCCAGCTTTGTTTTCCCTTATCCTTAGTTCCTAGGGCATTAAGCTTAGGCAACATCAGACCCTGGTGATATGCATACGGTTTTCTTCGTGGGAGTGGAGACAGACCTGAGAGAGGGGTGGAGGAAGGGGAAAGGGGAAGCCGACGTGTCCGGGGATAGCGAAGGGGAAATTCAAATGGTAGCTGCTCAGCAGTGGTAATTTGTGACTGAGGAATGATCTGTCAAGATTATTGGGCAAGAAGGCCCAACTGGAGAAGGGGTTAAGCTGCCTG